TCCGGTGGCGATCGGCGGCGACCGGCTGGGAGTGCTGATGTCGGTCGCTGCCGCTCGCGGCCGCAAACACACCGGGCGGCCAGCGAGCTGACCCGCCCGAGCCTCCCTGGCGGAGAACGGGGGGGTAGGGTGCACGGTTTCACTCGGGGCCGTAGGCGACCCGAGGAGGAGGAGGAGGAGGAGGAGGAGGAGGAGGAGGAAGAGGAGGAGGAGGAGGAGGAGCAGGATGGGGAGGAGGAGGAGGAGGAGGAGGACGGGTCGCGTAAGTCCTTCGGAGAAACCCTCCACATAAATATGGGGAGGGGGGGGGGTTTCGTGGAAGTCGCCGGCTGCTTCTTAGAAGGCGCCGGCCTGACATCTGCAGGGAATCGGCCTGCACCCTCCATAGAAGAAGCAGGGGCCTCGTGGCCCCCCATAGCGGCAGGGCTGCTTTTTCGCCGTTTTCGGAAAACAACGTCTCTTGAACATGGAAACGTTGATTTCTACATGCGATGTGTGTATACATATATATATATATATACATATATATATATGTATATATATATATATGTATACGTGCACATACATACATACATACATACATACATACAAACATATATATATATATATATATATATGTATATATATATATATACATGCTACCCGCCCCCCCTCAGGGACGTACCATTGTTTGTGTTGTCGCGCAATCAGATGGCCGATGTTGTGACGCCGATGGTATTCGAATCTGTTCCTCATATGATGTCAACAAGAACGGGACAGATTCCATGCTCTGGATATCCATATTGGATTTAAACGGAATGACAATACGACCCACGTCGGAAGGTATCATATGTCAGAGCCAATTGGTCCCTACCGCACCCAAATAACATCCCAATGAGACTTCGATGCAAACCCTCAAAGAAGCGGTGATCCGATGTTGTGTTCAGAGCAACGTAGCCCTGAATTGGCCATGGCGCAGTGGCGGTGACATGGTTGGACCAGCAAAAAGTGCGACAAGTTGGGGTTCCAGGCCCCGCGGGCATTCATTTTGCACTGCATGCCGCCATGCGTAGGAGCGCGCAAAGGAACGCATTGCAGAACCCCCACGTAGTGCAGACGCACTACCCAAGCCTACCCCCGCACGCCTGCCGCGGCAGAACATGTCTGCTGTATGTTGCGCTACATTTGTTGCACTGTGCGCACCGAATTGCCCACTGGTCGCCGTCATTGCGCCAAAGTAAAACCCCGCGTAGTGGCGCGCATTACCCCAGTCTACCGCAGAGGGCCCGCCGCGGGCCGATCACGCCATCAGCACGTCACGCATGATGTGTTGCACCATCTCCCCGGTCTTGGCCCACAAGTCGTCGCCCTTGTGCCGGTAGTCGTACTGAGCCGACCGGATCTTGGCGGCAAGCAGCTTAGTCCCTGCCTTGGCGGTGGCGCTCCTGTGCAGGCGGCCCTCGATGAAGCGCCACGCGCGGTCAATGATCTGCGTGCCGCTCTTGACCTTGAGGTGCTTCCCTGGCGGGAGTACGCGCGTCTTCAGCTCGACGTGCCTGGGGGGAATCAGCACCCTCTTGCCGCCGACGTTCTTGTACTTCTTCTTGTGGACAACGAAGTCGTGGATGACACCAGGCACGCGTGCGTTGTAGGAGCGCGCCGAGCCACTGTGAAAAAAACAACGTCGCGGTCTTTCAACCAGCGCTCCGCAAGGGGCTTCCGCTCTACCTTGCGCACGGCCCCAGGGCCAGGCGCCCCCGCTTCTCCGCCATCTCGGGGCTCAGCCTCGCAAGGGTCAGCGCGCGTGGCTTCCCGCGCTGCACAATGCCCGACCACTGCTCCCACATGACGGGGTGAGTCGGGTCTCCCAGAGGCTCGGGGCCGTCAATCAAGTCCATCTTGTCGAAGGTCGCCTCGTCGGCCTCCACGTCTGCCCACGCCTTCGGCCCGCTGCATTCAATGGTCGGCTCCGCGTCCTCCACGTGCATTCTCCGAGCCTGCTCAACATTGCTCCAGATCCGCCCCGCTGCCTTGTGGTTGACGCCGAACATGATGCGGGTGTTCGCGTGGGAGGTCCCCGTGAGCTTCGCCCAAAGAATCACGGCCTGATTCTGCTGGCTCTCGGAACCAGAGTGCGTGCTGAAGATTGGGTTAAGGTGGGCAGGGGACGCGTACTTCTGGCAGCACTTCGCATTGCAACGGTGCAAGAGGCGACCGCCCTTGCGCGGACGGGCGACTAACTCGCCGAGCGTGCCGCACCCGCCGATAGGACAAGTCGCCCCCGCCCAATCGACGAGCAGCTTGTCCTCCAGCAAGATGTTCACGATCTCCGGGTCAGACGCCGCCAAGAGCTCTGGGACCGTGCGCTTCCACTTTGCTTGCTCGCGGCGCAATCCCCTGCCAGGCGTCGCGCCCTTCTCCCTGACGCACGGCGCGTTCTTCCAGTCCTTGGTCTTGGTTGCAGAGGGGCGCTTGAGCACCATCCGAGCCTTGCCTTTTTTGGGAACGAAGCCCGAACGTCCTCCGCAAGCAGCGGCGGGGCGCCGGCAGACGGCCATCCCAGGCCCCTGGCGCGATGGCACGGATGAGGCAGCGCGCGGGAGGCGAGGGCGCCCGCGGCGCTGGCTGCCGACTCCGCCAAGAAACAGCTGCAGCGATGGCGACAGTTTGAAGGGGGGGAGGGCGACAAGGGGAGAGTTCTAGCGACGACGATGGGCGACAACCATTGCGATCGAGTTGCTGGGCGCAAGTGTTTGAGATGGCTTCGCCGCCGCAGCGAGGCAACGCCCCCGCTGCTTATCAACTGCCCCAAGCATCGCCCTGATCGAACCAGGGGCGCCGTCTCAGTTGGAACGCTGACCAAACGAACGACGCGGCTGATGAACATTGGAAACAATCGAGCACGTGTGTCTGCCGTTTCATCTGGCGGCGCCAAATCATAGCGATGGCTTGATGCTAGTCTCTTGGTAGTGTGATGTGCGGAATGCGTGGCGACGCGGTGGCGGTGGGCTGACTGTGCCCGCTTGCAATGCGGTGCGCGCGGGTCCAGAACCCGCTGGCATTCTATGCATGTTCAGAAATCTGAGCGAAGAAGCGCTCAATTGAGGAGGGCGCGCCGCTGGATCCCCCAAAGGGGGGGGGGTTCGGACCCCCCCCCCCCCCCTTTGCCCGAGCCGTCGTCGGCGAACCCCCCCCCCCCCTTTTGCCCGAGCCGTCGTCGGCGAACCCCCCCCCCCCCCCCCCCCCCCCTTGCCCGAGCCGTCGTCGGCGAACCCCCCCCCCCCCCCCCCCCTTTCCTGAAACCGTCGTCGGCGAACCCCCATCCCCCCCCTTTCCCCGCTCGCGCCCGGCTCCGGAACCCCATCCCTAACCACCCCCCCGCCCCGACCCCCCCGAACCCCTAACCTCGAACCCAAACCCTGAACCCTAATCCTTAATCCCTAACCCAAAGCCTAAACCCTAACCGTAGACCTAACCCTGACCCCAAACCCTAACACTAAGCCTAGCCCTAACCTAAGCTCTCAACCTGAACCCTTAACCCTAGCCTTCAACCCTAATCCCTAACCTCAACCCTACCCCTCACCCCAAACCCTAAACCCTAACCCTAACCCTAAACCCTAACCTCAACCCCAACCCTGACCCTAAACCCTAAACCCTAAACCCTAAACTCTAAACTCTAAACCCTAACCCTAAACCCTAACCCTAACCCTAAACCCTAACCCCCAAAACCCTACACCCTAAACCCTGACCCTAAACCCTAACCCTAACCCTAACCCCTACACCCTAATCCTTAACCCTAACCCTAACCCTAAACTCTAGCCCTAACCCTAACCCTAAACCTTAACCCTAAACCCTATGACCTAACCCTAAACCTTAACCCTAACCCTAAACCCTGAACCCTAAACCTTAACCCTAAACCCGAACCCGAACCCTAACCCTAAACCCTCACCCTAACCCTAAACCTTAACCCTCAACACAAACCATACCCCTAACCCTTAACCCTAACCCGAACCCTAAACCCTAAACCCTAAACCCTAAACCCTAACCCTAACCCTAAACAGCCTAAAACATTATTAATTAAAAAAATAAAAACCAATTCTTCTGGGATGTATCTCCGCGCTGTCCGCCCTCTGCGATCCCTTGCAAACAATACCATGCGGCGCACATGCGCCTCGGCGCGCGCGGCATCTGTTGCGACTTTCCCTATCAAATCATACCATGCGGCGCACATCGGGCCGCGGCGGCTAATTCCTAAACCTCCACCACCCCTATCGAATCATACCATGCGGCGCACCTCGGGCCGCGGCGGCCAACTCCTAAACCTCCACCATCCCTATCGAATCGTACCATGCGGCGCACCTCGGGCCGCGGCGGCCAATTCCTAAACCTCTACCATCCCTATCGAATCGTATCATGCGGCGCACTTCGGGCCGCGGCGGCTAATTCCTAAGCCCCCACCGCCCCTATCAAATAATACCACGCGGCGCGCATCCTGTTACGGCTGACAATTCCTAAACCTCGGGGTTAGTCGCGTTGGGGGGGGTGTGGAGCAACCCTGGGCTGTGGGGAGCGGCGTCCCTCGTCGTCGTCCTCCTCCCTCGCTTGCCGCTCGCCGTCGTCTGTCGTCGTCGTCGTCGCCGCGTCGTTGGCCGCTCGTCGTGCTCGTCGTCGTCGTCGTCGTCGTCGTCGTCGTCGTCGTCGTCGTTTCGTCGTCGTCGTCTTCGCCGCCGCCGTCTTCGTCTTCGTCGTCGCCGTCCGTCCGTCCCCGCCTCGAGCGCCGCGCTGCAGCTGCGCTGCGCTGCAGCTGCGCTGCGGGGCTGCAGGGCTGCCAGGCGGCCCGCGGCAGGCGAGCTGCAGTGCCTGTCGTCGTCGTCGCCGCGTTGTTCGTCGCTCGTCGTCGTCGTCTTCGTCGTGTCGCCGTCCGTCTGTCCCCGCCTCAAGCGCCGCGCTGCAGCGGAGCTGGGGCTGCGCTCAGCTGCGAGACCAGGTGGGGCGGCTGCAGCAGGGTGCTGAGCAGCCGCTCAGTCCAGGACCACAGATACCGCGGGCGAGTCCACCTTCTCGTAGAAGAGCAGGTAGGTGTGGCCCTTGACCCTGTCGCGCACGAACGTCGTCCCCTCGCTCTCTGTGGCTGGCCGCACTGCTTTGTCGTCGCACACGTGCCAGCGGTCGCCCCGCGAAGCGAACGCCACGTAGTGGCCGCTGCGAGCTGAGCTGCCCTCGTGCGTCACCACTGCGCGCAGCGCGTAGGTGGTGCCGCTCACGTGCAGGGTGCGGTCGGGCGCCACGGCGTGCGGGACCGGGATTTGCTTGTTGTCCCAGCGCAGGAGGTGCAGGATGAGGACGCGCGGCCAGTGCAGTACGTTGGGCATCTTCGCTGGGTCGTCTGCTGCGACGCCGCGCGCGACGCACTCTGGTGTGCTGCAAGCCCAGGCCCTGAGCGCCACAGTCTGCCGCGTGTCCAGGTAGCCCAGGAGCGCCTCGGCGGCCGTGCGGTAGGGCGCGCCGCCCTGGGAGTGGAGGGGCAGGGATATCGAGGAGAACGTTTCTCGCTCGGTTAGGCGCCCAACGATCCCGCAGTGTCGGCACAGGAGCTTGGGCGCGTCGGCGCCGCTGCACTGCGTGGCCCAGGTTTCTGCAGCTTGCAGCACCTGCCGTTGGAGGAACTCCTGTGCGTCCTGCTGGTCTTTGTCTTGCTCGTAGTGGTCAGCCAGGAACCTCTGCGGTGCGAAGAGCTTGCTCTCCTCGGCCGCGCGGAAGGTGGCGACGAGGGCTCCGCCCCCGCTGTCATCGACGGGCACGATGCTACAGAACTCCTCCGTCATCTGCAGGGAAAAGATCGCCTGCAGCGTGGCGTTGGCGTAGCAGGAGTTCCCGACGTTTTCCAGGGGGCAAGGGGTGCGCCTCGGATGCAGGAGCTGCTCGGCTGTTGCTGCTGTCTCGCCAGGTTCGCCCGCGTCAGAGCCTGCTGGCGGCGCGCCAGGTTCGCCGAGGTGCGCGTCTGCGTCTGGGGTGCTGGCGCCAGGGCCGTCCTCGGGGCGGTCGGCGCCGCTGCCTTCTGGGCCTCCAGCGCTGGGGCTGCCCGCCGCGGCGCTCTCGCCGTCGCTGCCAGGTGGGCTTGCGCCAGGGTCGCCTTCAGAGTGCTCGCTGCCTAGGGGCGTGGCGCCAGCCTCCTCCGCGGAGCGCTCGTCGTCGCTGCCTGGTGGGGTGGCTCCGGGGTCGCCTGCGGAGGAGTTGGTTTCTGGGAAGCTTGCGCCTGGGTCGCCCCCCGAGCTCTCTGCGCTGCTGACGGAGGCGCCCTGGTCCTCTTCGGCGGACGAGGACATGGAGGCGCCCTGGTCCTCTCCAGCGGGCGAGGACTCGCCGTCGTCGGAATCCCAATCGCCGAAATCGCTGTCGACGTCGGAGCTGGCGCTGTCGTCCCCTCGGCGCGGCTGCGGCGCGGCAGGGTCTGCGGGCACTGGGCAGAAGTCGGTGGTACGGGCTTTGCCCATGAGCCACGCGTGGATTTTCCGCCGCACGCGAGAGAGGCCCACGCATCCGCATCCAGGCTCGGGGGGGTGCGTGTGGTCGAACCAGAGGCCGATGAGCTCCAGCGTGGAACCTTGCGCTCTCCTGATGGTCATCGCGTAGCCGTAGGTGAAGGGCATGAAGAAGCTGCGGTCGTTGCTGCGCGGGTCTGTCAGGGGGTAGACCAGGATGCGCCTGCCCGAGGGCGTCTTCGGTAGTTGCCCTCCTCGTCCTTGAACCTGTACTCGACCTCGGCCAGGGCGCCGTTCACGAATCCAGACTCCTTGCCGACGTTACTCGTGAAGCGGATTCGCATGCCTTCGAGTGCCACGACGAAGTTGCGGGGGTCCTCGGGGTCGTCGCTCCTCACGCGGTACTCCGGGTCGGCGGGCACGCCGTGCATCTTCCAGCTCTCCCCGGTTTCCTCGCGGTCCCCGAACTCCGTCGCCGCGCGCTTGCGGTTCAGACGCAGCGCGCCGTCGTTGCGGACGGTGAGGAGCGTGAAGTGCTTGCCTGTCTCTTCCTCCAGGTCCATGGACTTGTTCACAGCCGTGTCGATGACGTTCTCGCCCCTGTAGCCTGTGTCCTGCGTCAGGCGCCTGTCGCCCCAGAACTCGACGAGCATCGGTTTCGTGGGTTGGCGCTCCCGCACGTAGTTCAGGAAGTCCAGGAGTTCTGGGTCGGTGCTGCGAGCCAGGGAGTGCGGCTTGAGGTCCACGTGGCGCATCCTACCGCTGGCGACTGCCTGGTCCAGGTCGACGTTCAGAGCGTTGCCGCCCACGGGCTGGAGCTGTTGGAAATCGCCCACGAAGCAGACGAAGGGGCCAGTGGTCAGTTCGTTGAGAGCCAGGTCCATCTTCGTCCAGACCTTATCCTCTATCTGCGACACCTCGTCGTAGATGATGAGGTCGAAGGTGCGCAGGCGCCCAGGGGGGTTCCACTGTTCGTCCTTCTGTCGCCCGATGGGAATGCCGTGGGAGGAGTGCACCGTCTCGATGACGATGTTCTCGTTGGGCGGGAGGCGCTGGCGGTAGACGTCGATCAGGGCGCCGATGGGGCACGCGATCAGAACGCGCTCTCCCTTGGCGGCGGCTGCAGTGGCTGCGCCGCAGACGACCTCGGTCTTGCCCGCGCCAGGTTTGCCCGTGATGACGAGCCTGCGGTTCTGCGCGTTGGCGTTGGCGTCGTCCACGGCCGCGCCGCTCTCGATGATGTCCAGGGCCTCTTTCTGCTCGGCAGACCAGACTCGCGGTGGCGGGGCGCCCACGGCCTTGACGTCCCAGATGTCGGCGGGGATGCACACGCCGCGTGTCCCAGTGTTGTCCAGGAGCAGCTTCAGAGCGCGCAGGCGCCGAGCCAGGTTCTTGCGGTCGGCGTACTTCTTCCCTCGGATGTACAGGTCCCTGTCGGTTTCCTCAATCAACAGCTCCACGTCTCCGTACTCGCGCTTGCCTGGGTTGCCGCCGTAGCGCTCCTGCATCAGGGCGGTCGCCAGGTAGCGCGTGCCCTCGGGGACGTCTGGGCTCAGGTCTGGGGCCAGCTCTGCCTCGCTTGAGTGCGGGGTGTTCATGGCTATGAACGCGCCCAGGAAGTTGTCGAGCATCTCGTAGGGGTAGTGCACGCCGATGGCGCAGCGCTCCTTGTTCTTCCCGACGCCGTGGCCGCCCCTGTCCTTTACCTCGCCGTTGACCAGGTGGTAGCCCCGGAGCCACTCGAGGAAGGACCCTGTGAGCCTCTTCTTGTAGTCCTCGTACTGCTTCCGCGTAGTCTCGCTGTCGCAGGCGTTCTGTTCCTGTGGGGCAGTGCCAAGGGGGTCATCACTAAGGGGGTCGCCACCTCCCTGAAGGAACGCCGCTTCCAGGAGTCTTCCTCAAGGAATTGATTGGGCCCCTCAGAGCCCCAAAAAACGAAAAGAAACGTCCAAAAACCTCCTCGACCCTCGATCCTGGAACTTGGATTTCCAGGAGAAGTTGGCGACCCCCCTAGTGGTGCTTCCCCTTGGCACTGCCCGATCCTGGCGCCACTCGTCAAAGGGCGTGGGGCCTGGGCGCTTCAAGTAAGCCTCGTAGAGCTTCGTGCTGGAGTTCTTGGCGGCCCTGCGCTTGCTGCTCTCGCCGCGCCTGGGTTCTGGCTCGGTGGTGCGAGGGCCCTCGTCGTCCTCTCGGTGGCGCGGGAGCGGTGCGTAGACGAAGTCGTGGCGGTAGGAGTTGTCGATGGGGCTGCAGTCCGAGAACTCCAGGGCCATCTCAGGGAGCAGGGGGGCTCTCTTGCACAGCAGTCTGTAAGTCATGCGCCAGGGGCTGTCTCGCTCTGTGTAGTCGCCGTACTTGAACGTGAGTGCGTCCGAGGCCTTGCTCACGTAGCCCGCGACGTACTGCAAGACGGTGTTGTGGCCGTCGCCGCACTGGACGTCCACGGAACTCCTGGACAGCTCTTCGAACCACTTGGGGAGGTCCGACTTGGGGCCCTCCTGGTTGGACCTGCCCGACATCTCGTCCATGTTGGTTTTGGAGTACTTGACCCAGGCCAGGACGTGGACGTGGAGTGTGCCCCTGCTCTGGAACTCGAACCGCAAGCAGTAGTCGAAGACCTCGTCGATGCCGCACGCGTGCCTCTTCTCGAAGTAGGCGTCTCTGAAGTTGCCCTCCTCGTCCGTCGGGGCGCCCTTCCTCAGGATTACGTCTCTGATCAGGGTGCCCAGGATGTGGTGGAGGTGCAGCGTGAGCGCAGCCTGCCCTTCCGAGAGGTTGTCGGCTCGCTGCCTCCAGCCCAGGAGTCCCTCGTGGAGCAGCGCCTTCCACCCTGCAGGGGCCATGGTGAAGTACAGGTTCGGCAGGCCGCGGGAGTAGCTCTCTGGGAGGGGGTCTCTCGCATCGTTCAGGCGCAGATGAGCGTTCCCCGCCAGGTACTTCTCGTCCGTCACGTACTGCCTGCACATGTCCTGGAGTTTGCGGAGCTGCTTCTGCCAGTCGCCCCCGAAGTTGGGCATGTCTGACGCGGCCTCCTCGGGCGAGATCTCCTCTTTGGCTGCAGTGGCCACGCGCGCAGACACGCGGCGGGCCAGGCTGATGTCGTAGAGGAGGCAGAAGAGCTCGAAGTCCTCGCCGTAGCCCACGTGGCGGCTCAGCAGCTTGCGGCACCAGCTGCTCTGCAGGGACGGCTTGTTCTTCTGCGTGAGCTGGCCGAGCCTCAGCAGGCGCTCTTTGATGTCGGAGTCTCCGTACTCTGCGAGGGGGTAGAGCCAGGGGCGCGCGGCTACTTCCACGCCAGGTAGGTTGAGTAGGAGCCGTGCAGTCTTGATGACGAACCAGTCCTGGGTGGTAGCCTGGGCCTTCTCCTTGCGGTGCTGCTGCGCGAACCTGGCGTACGTGGCGTTGTAGCGCATCAGCCAGTCGAAGGCGGCCCGCGCCCTGGGGGCGAGCCCGTCCGTGACGTCGCGGCGGAGCCAGTGCGCCGTGACGGCGCCCATCTTCTGCCAGTTCCAGGTGGGCGCCTTCCCTCCGCGCACTTGGCGCTTCTCTACCCGCAGGGTGATCACGGCCAGGGACTCCGCCTCCTTCTCGTTCAGGTCCAGGAGCTGCTGCGGCCAGTCGCCCAGGTGGCCCTCGCCGTACATGTCCTTCCAGGAGTGCTCCAGGGCGCCCACGGTGTACGTCTCGGCTTCTGTCTCTGGCGGAGGGCGGTCGTTCCTGGGAGTGACGTAGCACATGAGCTTCGGGGCTTTCTTCGGCATTGCGGAGGCAGGGTAGTGTGTGTTGTGCACCTCTGGGAGTGGTTGGCGGCTCTCCTCGTCGCGTTCTGGGCGGTAGTAGTGGTCCTTGGAGAGAGCCTGGGGCGAGGGGTCGCAGCCGTTGTTGCAAGGGATGGCGACGCCGTTGCCTCTGCCCTTGAACCAGGCATCCGCCAGCTTGCCGTTGTTCGACTCGCGGCCGCACTGAGGGCAGAAGGTCCAGGAGCCGCAGCGCAACCACCGCTGGAGCGCAGAGTCCTGAGGGTTGGGCTCGGAGCTGCAGTCGTCGAGGCGCAGGCACTTCCAGGGCAGGTGGAACCGCTTGGCGGCCTCTTTGGCCCAGGTCTGCTCAGGGGTCTCGCCGAAGGTGTCGCTGCGCCTCCTCTTTCTTGCCGCGGCGACGGCGTTGCTATCGATCCCCAAGGTCTTCGTGATGCTCTCGTGGCTCTCGCCAGCCTCGGGTAGCTCCGCGCACCTGGTGTCCTTCTGGTATTTAGCCTCTCGGCGCCTCTCTCTGCTCCACTTCGCGAACGTGTTAGTGTTGATCCACAGGGTCTGCGCGATCTCCGCGCGGGTCTTGCCTTCGTTCAGGAGCTCCAGGCACTGTGCTTTCTTCTTGGCGTCCAGGGTGGCCTTGGCGTCGCGGCCCAGGTTGCGTACAATGGCAGTGCACATGTGGTCATCGATTCCTAGTTCTCTGCCAATGGCTGCGACCTTCTTCCCCGCGCCCAGGAGCTCCTTGAACCTTGCTACCAGGTTTGGGTCCAGGGGCCCGCTGGCGCGGCGCGCTGCGGCCTTCGCCGCTGCGGCTGGCCTGCGCAGGACGGCGGGCGCTGCGCCGCCAGGGGCCTGCTTCCCTCTCAGGCGGCGGCCCTTGAGGGCTGCCGCGAGGCCGCGCCGCAGTCTCTGGCCAGGGGAGAGGACAGCGCCCGTGCGGCGTGCTGATCCAGGCTCGCGCTGCTGCAGTGGTGTTGTCGCTGGGGTGCCAGGTGTCGCTGCCTCTGAGGCGTCGTCCTTGCGCCGCGGCTGCTCTGGTGTGGCTGGCACTGCGTCCTCGGGCGGCGGGCTCTCCTCGGTGGGCTGGTCCCGCGTCTCTTTCATCAGCTGTGAGGTCCGCGCCTTTGCGAAGCCTTCTTCCTTGAGTTTCTTCCTGGCCAGGGGTGGGTCTGCGAGTCTCTTGCGCAGGCTGCGTGTCAGGGCCAGCGCAGTGCCTTTGCCGCGGCCCTTCTTCTTTTCTCCGCCGCGTCCCATTGCGAGAGGTCCAAGTAGAGTGGTTCGGCGTAGAGGATAGCAGGTAAGCTTGAGAGTAGTATTCTTCCACAGAAAGTGGCTGTTTCTGGTGTGAAAAGAACGGCGGGCAGGGCGTGGTACCAGGTAAGCTTGAGAGTAGTATTCTTCCACAGAAAGTGGCTGTGGCTGGTGTGACTTGGCGCGCAGGGGCGCCCTCTCGAGCCGAGGTTGGGAGAGATTAGAGTCGTGCGCGCTTACATCTGCCGTTCTCAGACTGCGCCTTGTCGTGATTTCCTGTCTATCAACCGAGAGCGCCGCGTGCGTTTCTGACACTGAGTTTCCCATTGGGGCGGGGGTGGGGGGGTGGCGCCGTGCATTTCGCTCTTCCAGGGGGCCTCGGCCCCGCAGCAAGCAAAGAGGAGGTTACCCAGGCAGAATTTGCTCGCTTTGGGACGAGGCCCCGCAGAGCGCATCGTTCACCGACGGGATGCAAGGCCCCTGGGAGCGGACGCTCGAAGCCCCTGTGGGGGCCTCGCGGCAGCGGGTGCTGCAGACAGACAAGGATGCAAAGGGCCTTCCCCTCTCTCTCTCTCTCTCTCTCTCTCTCTCTCGCTCTCTCTTGCTCTGTGTCCGTCTCTCTCTGCTCTCTGCTCTCTGTCTCTGCTCTCTGTCTCTGTCTCTGTCTCTGTCTCTGTCTCTGTCTCTCTCTGTCTCTGTCTCTGTCTCTGTCTCTGTCTCTGTCTCTCTCTCTCTCTCTCTCTCTCTCTCTGTCTCTCTGTCTCTCTCTCTCTCTCTCTCTCTCTCTCTCTCTCTCTCTCTCTCTCTCTCATCTCTCTCTCTTCTCTCTCTCTCTCTCTCTCTCTCTCTCTCTCTCTCTCTCTCTCTCTCTCTCTCTCTCTCTCTCTCTCTCTCTCTCTCTCTCTCTCTCTCTCTCTCTCTCATCTCTCTCTCTCTCTCTCTCTCTCTCTCTCTCTCTCTCTCTCTCTCTCTCTCTCTCTCTCTCTCTCTCTCTCTCTCTCTCTCTCTCTCTCTCTCTCTCTCTCTCTCTCTCTCTCTCTCTCTCTCTCTCTCTCTCTCTCTCTCTCCCTCTCTCTCTCTCTCTCTCTCTCTCTCTCTCTCTCTCTCTCTCTCTCTCTCTCTCCCCTCTCTCTCTCTCTCTCTCGCTCTGTCTCTTTCTCTCTCTCGTGCGCGCTTGCATCTTCCGTTCTCAGACTGCGCCTTGTCGTGATTTCCTGTCTATCAACCGAGAGCACCGCGTGCGTTTCTGACACTGAGTTTCTCATTGGGGCGGGCGGGGTGGCGCCGTGCATTTCGCTCTTCCAGGGGGCCTCGGCCCCGCAGCAAGCAAAGAGGAGGTTACCCAGGCAGAATTTGCTCGCTTTGGGACGAGGCCCGCAGAACGCATCGTTCACCGACGGGATGCAAGGCCCCTGGGAGCGGACACTCGAAGCCCCTGTGGGGGCCTCGCGGCAGCGGGTGCCGAGGAAAGGCAGGGATGCAAAAGGCCTGGGGGCACCCGGGTGGGCCCCCACCCCCATCGCACAGGGGGGCCCCCAGGCCACGGGGTTACGCTCGCGCGCTGTGTTTTCCTGTCGCTGCCCAGCGTGGCAGGCAGGTCTCTCCGCGCCCAGCGCGGTCTCGGCTTCTGCGAAACCTCGTCGGGCCTGCGCCAGGTAGACCGCCTGCGGGCGCCGCCGTCGTCGGCGCTGCCGTCGCTGTCGTCGCTGCCCGCCGCCGTCGTCGTCGCCGCCGCCGTCGCCGTCGCCGCCGCCGTCGCCGTCGTCGTCGCTGTCGTCGTCGCTGTCGTCGCCGCCGTCGCCGTTGTCGCTGCCCGCCGCCGTCGTCGTCGCCGCTGCCGTCGCCGTCGTCGCCGTCGTCGTCGTCGTCGTCGTCGCCGTCGTCGTCGTTGCGTTCGTCGTCGTCGTCGCCGTCGTCGTCGCCGTCGTAGTCGTCGTCGTAGTCTTTGCTGCCGTCTCCGTCGTCGTCGCCGACCGCCCGCCCCCGCCCCCAGCGCCAGCAGAGGCTGCGTTGGGCGCCGCGGGGCCGCAGGGGGCAGCGGGGGCAGCGGCCTCCGCCTGCGGCCGCCGCCGTCGTCGTCGCCGCCGTCACCGTCGTCGCTGCCCGCCGCCGTCGTCGTCGTCGCCGCCGTTGCCGTCGCCGCCGCCGCCGCCGCCGTCGTCGTCGTCGTCGTTGTCGTCGTCGCTGTCGTCGTCGCCGTGGTCGCCGCCGTCACCGTTGTCGCTGCCTGCCGCCGTCGTCGTCGCCTCTCCCGTCGTCCTCGTTTAGCAGCGCGGGTGTCGCCCAGCTGCTTCTGCCTCAGAGTCCTTCTTCTTCTCTGGGTACCAGGGCAGCCGTGTGCGGCACCAGGTGTCCACCCCCTGCAGCTTCTTCTTGTTCAGGAACTCGCAGAGCTTTTCCCTTGCCTCGGCCCGCTTCCACCAGTCGTTTGTATTCAGGGAGAGCTTCGAGAAGTTCAGGAACTTCACGAGCGGGAGCAGGTCCCTCGCCTCCTGCTCTTGTTGTTCAACAACTTTTTTGTGGTAGCCAGTCAGGTCTGCTCGGTGTGCGCTGTCGCTTTGCCAGTTCTCGATCGCGGCCTCCAGCGTCTCGGCGAGAGTGTCGGTTTCGGGCCAGGTCAATTCGGGCAGCTCTTCGAGAACCTCAATTTCGACTTCTTCCCCGTCCTCCGTGTCGGCCTTGCGCTTCGTGCCAGAGCGGTGGAGGCGGCGGAGGTGCTCAGGAGCGGCCATGGCGTCGGGTTCCAGGTGAGGCCACGACGACGACTACGACGACGACGACTACGACGACGACGACGACTACGACGACGACGACAACGACGGCGGCGGCGACGACGACGACGGCGACGGCGACGACGGCGACGACGACGACTACGACGACGACGACGACGGCGACGACGACGGCGATTACTACGACGACGACGACGACTACGACGACAACTACGACGACTACGACTAACGACGACGTCGACGACTACGACGACGACTACGACTACGACGACTACGACGACGACGGACTACGACGACTACGACGACGACGACGACTACGACGACGACGACGACTACGACGACGACGACGACGACGACGACGACGACGACGACGACTACGACGACGACGACGGCGACGACGACGAACGACTACGACAACGACGACGACTACCGACGACGACGACGACTACTACGACGACGACGATACGCGACGACGACTACGACGACGACGACTGACGACGACGGCGGCGACGACGACGACGACGACGCGACGACGGCGACGACGACGAACGACGAACTAACGACGACGACGACGACTACGACGCGACGACGACGACGACGACTACGACGACGACGACGGCGACACGACGACGACGACTACGACGACGACGACTACGACGACGACGACGACTACGACGACGACGACTACGACGACGACGACTACGACGACGACGACGACGACGACGGCGGCGGCGACGACGACGACGGCGACGGCGACGACGACGGCGACGACGACGACTACGACGACGACGACGACGACGGCGACGACGACGACGACGACGGCGACTACTACGACGACGAGGGCGTCCGGGGGCCTCCGAGGGCCTCCGAGGGCCTCCGAGGGCCTCCGAGGGCCTCCGAGGGCCTCCGGGGGCCTCCGAGGGCCTCCGAGGGCCTCCCTCCGACAGCCTCCGAGGGGGGCAGCCGACCGCCTCCGAGGGCTTCCGAGGGCCCTCGAGGGGCAGCCTACGACGACGACGACCACGATGACGACGACCACGACGACGCCGACGACGACGAAAACGAGGATGACGAAAACGACGACGAAAACGACGACGACGACGACGAAAACGACGATGACGAAAACGAAGACGAAAAATATGACGACGACGACGACGCAGACGACGAAAACGACGACGACAACGATGACGACGACGACGACGACGACGACGAAAACGACGACGACGACGAACACGACGACGAAAACGACGACGACGACGAAACCGACGACGACGACGACGACGGCGAGGACGAAAACGACGACGACGACGAAAACGACGACGAAAACGACGACGACGGCGACGGCGACGACGACGACGACGACGACTACGACGACTACGACGACGACGACGACGACGACGACTACGACGACCGCGACGACGACGGCGACGACGACGGCGACGACGACGACGGCGAGTGCCTCCGAGGGCCCCCAACGGCCCACGAGGGCCTCCACGAGCCTCCGAGGGGCAGCCTCCCACGGCATCGGGGGGCCTCCGAGGGCCCCCGATGGCCCCCAAGGGCCCCCGAGGGCCTCCGAGGGCCTCCGAGGGCCTCCGACGGCCTCCGAGGGCGTCCGGGGGCCTCCGACAGCCTCCGAGGGGGGCAGCCGACCGCCTCCGAGGGCTTCCGAGGGCCCCCGAGGGGCAGGCTACGACGACGACGACGACCACGATGACGACGACCGCGACGACGACAACGCCGACGACGACGAAAACGAGGATGACGAAAATGACGACGAAAACGACGACGACGACGACGAAAACGACGACGACGACGACGACGAAAAGGACGATGACGAAAACGAAGACGAAAACTATGACGACGACGACGACGACGATGACGACGACGACGAAAACGAATACGAAAACTATGACGACGACGACGACGACGACGACGAAAACGACGACGACGAAAACGACGACGACGACGAAACCGACGACGACGACGGCGACGACGAAAGCGACGCCGACGACGAAAGCGACGACGAAAACGACGACGACGACGACGACGACGACGAAATCGACCCGCCCGTTAGGGCCCGCCCGCCCGACTCGACCCGCCGTTAGGGTCCGCCCGACCCGACCTACCCGACCGTTAGGGTACGTGCGTGCCAACTCGATGACGCATCGTAGTTTAATGTTCCTCCATCGAGTGGTGTTTGCCGATGTATGTAATGGGAATCCAGGGTGGGT